GATGGAGTCAGCCTAACAGAGACACGCCATCGAGCAATCAACATCTCATACAAAGAATGAACAAGGCCTTACACCAGTCGATGAGAGCTATACTGCCCGTCTGGAAAACGACGCCCACCACCATCCTCCACCACGAGAGCGGGATACCGCCAGTTGATCAACTCTTGGAAAAACGGCGATGGAGATTCTCGGCGCGGCTCAAATCACTCGACGACGCCCATCCTCTTGTGCGGCGAATGTTGCCACCCCGTCAACCCATCTACCATGATCTCATCAAACGAAGGTATCAGCAGGCAGAAAGTAGATTTAGAACACGTCTCCGACGTACAGATGAGCATCTTGCATCTTGCACCCGCCCTAAGCTCCTCCAGAAACGCTTCCAGCAGGAAGAGATACCACCGTTGCAAACAGCATCAAGGGAGAAGACAGCCGAGACTTTCCTCCGCTGGGTCAAGTCGCTCGACGCGCTCACCTTGGTCGTCTACTCGGACGGCTCTCTGTCCGAGAAAGGGGTTGCCAGCTACGGCTTTACCATTCACCAGGACAACTTGCCTGTCTTTGACGGATCAGGCCGCCTCGGACCAGCTGAAGTCTTTGATGCCGAAGCTAGAGGAGCATTAGAAGGCCTCAAGGCTGCCCTAAGGCTGCGAGAATCAGCAACGCAAAACATAATCATATGCCTAGACAACCTCGCGGCCGCAACATGCTTGCGAGGCACACCATCCGACTCTTCTCAAGACGTCTTCCCTGAGTTCCAGGCTCTAGCGACATTGCACGGGTCTGCGCACGTACGATGGGTGCCGGGACACACCGACATACCTGGCAATGAATAGGCCGATCGACTGGCGAAAGCAGCATCTTTAATGTCCGAGCCAAAAGACGCACGACCAACCCTGGCGTTCTTGCGGAAGGTCGCAAGACAGAAGCTAAAAGAAGCATTCGAGGCATGGTGGTCCACTGCCGCTCCTGAGCAGTACAAGAGACTCAATCTCAAGGCGACCACAGGCTGTCCGCCGGAGCTGTCGCTCCCGCGGGCAGCCTTGCACCATCTGCTGGCAGCGAGGTCCCTTCACGGGGACTTCGCCGCATATCACGAAAGATTCGACCATGGCGATGCACGCCTGCTCTGCTCCTGCAACCGACGCAAGGCACCGGACCACATCTTCTACTGTCGGAAAGTACCGCCGCGCCACCGGATGAGGCTTGCACCCTCACCGAATGCAGCGGTCAACCTCGCAATAGGAAGAGACTTCACCAAGTTTGTCAACTTGTCCAAGAACAGCGCGTTCTTTGGAAAGATCTGCCCTCGCTACTAGGCGATCCCAGCCCACGATGCACTCGCATCTCCTCGCATCTCCTCTCATCTCTCCTTCTATATGTATTTCTTCTGTTACCTTTTCTCCTTTCTTACTCATTCACGGCCAGACGAAGGGTGTCACCGCGCCCTCCATTTGGCCGTGAACATCTTGCGACAGCCTCGAGCTGCCGCGTG